TATTATTCCTCCTCCTCAGCTCCCAACCTACCCTATTCATCACTTCGATGGTGCCTAATTTTGGGTCCGAGACCTTATGATTTTGTTCCTGAGCTCATACCCAAAAAACATTAATAAAGATATGTTAACTCTTATAAAGTTATGAACAATCTCATATGTAATTGATAAGTGATTTTGGTCTCGTTTAGATGTTAGTGTGGGATTGATGTAAAATTAGAGTAATGAATCTCAGATGTTTAACCCGTCAAATTCGCTAATTAAGACGTCCGATAATAAAGAGTTATTTTTCTTTATTAGCGTTTTGGTCGAAAACGCTAATCTTGAAAAAGCTCAATATAAGAGCATTTTGAGGAAACAAAATATGTAGAATAATAAATCAACTTAAAATGTTCAAAATAATTATACAAACTCCTATATACCAAACAACTATTTAAAAAACATCAATACAATTAACTAGTCAAATCAACTATTATAATCCACAATAATTAATCCACAATAATTCTATGGAGCCATCGGAAGACTCCGATATGGAACCATTCATCACTTTATGAACTCCATTATAAACTATCTCAACTATCCGTTAATATAATAACTTCTTTGCTATCCACTATTAGCTTATACCAAACAAATGTTTAGCCTTTGATTGACTAACCAACCCAAATAAGTGTTTGGCCTTTGATTGACTAACCAACCAATAATAGACTTTATTTTGAGGGGTCCTTCAAGGGCCATGCTCCCATTGGGTAATTACTAATTAGTTGGACTAAAAACCTTTCGCGTCATAATTATCCCACAAGTTTACAATTACTAAGCCAAATCAAAATTGTGCTCAATTCGAATATTTTCACCTCAAAAAATGAAAATGACATATGAACTAAATTGACCATTAATAGTATATTAATGTGTGTGAGCAGCCACCAGCAGCCCTGTTGTAAATTAATGCAAACATATACATAACTTATACCTATATAAAGATTCATGAATCAAAACCTTTTCCACAACAACCAATCAATCCATCAACATTCTCAATTAGAATTTAGAAGAACAAAATTCAGATAATAAACATTAAAAATGGCAACTTCAAATGTTGGTGGAGATAGATACAGATCCTACTTAACTCCAGAGGAGCTCAAGACCACTCAATGGCGAGCCGGCCCGCCTAATTACGACGCGGTTAATAAGCTCTTTGAAGATGGTAGAACCAAGGTAATAAATTTTAAGTAAAGATATAAAAATAGAACCAAGAAATAGATAAATATATATTTTATTTTGTGATCAATCAATTATAATTAATTAATGTTGGTTTAATTTTTGTGGTGTTGTTGAAGGTGTGGGAAGCTGGATCATTAGAAGAATATGTGCAGAATCTAATCAAGACATGGGAAATGGAGATAGTCCACAAGGCCAACCCACAAGATTGCAAAACATTTGACCCAAAAAACTTCGTCATAGGCATCAATGGTACGATTTTTTTTCCCACCGACTTAACAATTTTATTTTTTTTTCGTACAAATTTCGCTTGCACAAACTAATCATTTAGCCTATATCGACTATAGCTAGCCAATCTAGTAACTCTCGTTTAAATATATTCATTTTCGACTATTATCACGCAGATTCATATGGTTGTGAGTAACATATTGAGGGTACGTAGGATAAAACTTATCGTTTTATCTCAATGTAACATGTAACTTTTCAAAGATTCTTTCAAATATTGAAGGTAAAAGGTACTACACATTGGAAGAAGTTGGGAAGATCGGTGGAAGTTACCAAATCTTTCTCCAAACTTCGTTGCCACCCGAGTTGAGAATGTACAACCCGGATAACGAGACGTACGACTCGTCTCAAACGGCTTTTAAGCAAGTTTTTCCACGTGGATTTGCTGTGGAGATTCTTGAGGTCTACTCTGGCCCACCAGTGATCGCGTACAAGTTCAGGCATTGGGGATATTTCGAAGGGTCCTTCAAGGGCCATGCTCCAACTGGGGAATTGGTTGAGATTTTCGGCATGTCGATTGTTGAGGTACATTATTTGTAGATTAATGAGATTTACTATTTTTGTTGAATTAGATTAAAATGTACTTTAATTTATTTATTTATTTATTTGTGATATTTATAGATGAATGAAGAGAAGAAGATTGTGAAGATTGAGTTTTTTTATGACCGTGGGGAATTGTTGGCTGGTCTAGTTAAGGGAAAAACTTCAGAGGAATATGCAGGGGATGAGGCTAAGGAATCAGCCTGCCCTTTCATGGCTTAATTAATATTTTTTAGTTTTTATCTTTTGTTGTTTCTAATTGTGTTTTATGTGGTAGTAACTAGTAAGTTTGGAATAAATTAGTCGATTGAAAATGCGTTATCGTCTCAAACTAATTTCATATTAGGGTTTATGTATGGTTTATGGACAAAAAATCGATTGGTTCTACAAAAAATAAAAAATAAAAAATCGATTATTTGTATTTTGCAAATTCGGTTGTTAGTCAAACCAACCTATGAACAACTCTACGAATCTCGGAATTATTGGTGGGACTTTGTACTGTAGACTAGAAAAGTTGCCGGTCGCAATTTCTCTTCTAATTTTAATCTTCAACTAAAAAATTTGTCTTACTATTCTTGGAAATTAGTGGCGTGATTGAGCGTAGTATGTTTTGACCCTTCACGGCTGCTCACCACGAAAATGACACAAAATAATTGCATAAAATATTAAAAATAATAATTTCCAATCATGATGTCATCATCATAACATTATTGAGAAACAATTGTATATATGATTTTGTATGTTTGGGTAGTGATACTGATGTAGGAAGCGTACGAGTGAGATGATATTAATGAGATCACAATCTCAAGAACACCAAATCAAAATATAAAAACACATATTATTCAATAATCAACCACATAATCAACCACAAATAACAAAGAAGAATGAGTTTTTAAATAAGACTCCTAAAGCTCTAGACCTAACTTGTTCATCAATCTACTAAAAAATAATAATAATTATAATAACTATATTTATTCTGCATCATTCTCCCCCGGTTGAGCAGGTTTCAACCTCGAATCCGATCCGTTCCCGTTGGAGACGTCTCATGACAGGAATAGCCTAACGTTTCCCCCGATTTAACACGAAGGTTGAAGGTCGCCCAACAACCTCGAAAGTAAACATAATCTCGGGCAAGGATTGAACTGCTGCAAAGACACATGTACACGCCTTCATACGCATAATCCATAACTACGACCAAGCATCCCGTTGTTGGGAGACTTAGCGATAGACAATCCGAAAATGGCCCACCAGTTATTGAGCCTCGGAGTCGGCTCCCAAAAACCATCGTTGGCCAAGATACTCCAAACATAGGGTTTAAACGACGGCATCCCCGTCAAAGGCTCAACTTCCTCGACATCCAACGCGGGACCCATATTGCCGCAAAAATATGTCTCCGTCACCGGAGGCTCCTCATCGAAAATAAGCGGACCATCGTACAATAGCCCGTCATCTTCCTAAAAAATCGCACTCTGTTGCTGCACATCTTGGTCGTCGTGTGCAACAACGAGCTTAGTCTCGACGAACGGAGGCGGCCACTCTCCGAAGGGATCCACCTACGAGATGGTCTCCTCGCCGTCTGCATCGCCGGGTGGCGGTTGTGGAGATCGCCGACGGGGCGCTCCGCCTGGAACACGACCTCCACTTCCTCCGTGAACTCCCCCGCGCACACCCCGGTCGCCGGCAGCACGGTTCATCTGCAAATCCCAGATAACGTTGTTAAGCGTCAAACGCAAATCCTCGATCCCCGTCGAAAGATCTGCAAATCAATCCGTGAAACGCACGTCCAACTTTTCAAATCGGTAGTCGATCTGTTGCAACTGATCGTTGAAGGTTGCATCACATCGATTGTTTGCGCCATCTTGTCGTCCCGACGGCATCGCGAATCGTACTGACTGCTGATACCAATTAATATAGGGAAGCGTACGAGTGGGACGGTATTAATGAGATCACAATCTCAAGAACACCAAATCAATATATCAATTCATATTTCTATTCAATAAACATCCACAAATAACAAAGAAGAAGGAGTCTTTAAATAAGACTCCTAAAGCCCTAAACCTAACTTGTTCACCAATCTACTAAATAATAATAATAATAATAATAATAATAATAATAATAATAATAATAATAATAATAATAATAACCATATTTATTCTGCATGACCTGTATTTCTTAAAAATTGATCACACATTCATCAATAGATTTAATTAAGCACAAGGTATTCTTCATGTAGAATGTATGCTGTATGCACATGATGAAAATATGATTGGACAATTGCCAGAATTGATTAGGGATGCAAAATTGATGTTCAATTTGACAGAAAAATTGTTTCAGCAAAAATATGGGCCATAACAATATTAAACTAAAACAAATTGAGAATCAAAAGTTATGTTCTTAAGCTTCCCCGAGACGTAAATCTAATTAGAAACACTAAAATTTGTTTACATGATTTATTAGTAGTAATGACTTATCTAGTTATCTGTACCAATTTTAATCTTTTGAGAAACATCAAGTATGTTATTAGGCACATTTAAGTAAAGATTGCACAACCATACTGTTTTAATAAATGTGTATTATCTATAATTCTATAACATATGTTATGCAATTTTGTTATAAATTATGGCGGGTTGACCGCTTAATGGTTAGACTACCCCACGCAGTAATTTGTGTTTGCCAAATCATTCCTTCATACTACTATCAAATATCATACCTACACCACAAAAAAATGATGAAATTTTAACGAGAATTTTCAACAAAAATATAGTCCAGTGGAAGGAAATTCCAATGACAATTTCAATGAATATTTTAATGCTATTATTTTCATTAAAATTTCTAATGGATTCCAACGAAAATTCTAACAAAAATATTCCGTTGGAAAGAGTTTTTTTGGTTGAAATTTCTGTTGGATTTTGATGATTCCAACGGTAGATTTCTAAAGGTTGAAATATGGGTATAAATAAAATTCCATCGGAAATTGTATATTCTAACGAAAATTCCTACGATAAAAACCGTTAGAATAATAATTGTTGCGATCATCAAATTTCATCTAAAATTCCAATGGAATATTTTGGTTCGAAGTTTATCTTTCTCTGCTCCAGTTCTCTGCCACTGGTATTTTAGATTTGTAGTGTTATGTTTATTCTGTTTTTTTTTTTTTTAAAGTATGATACTTTCTAATAAAAGTCAACATATTTGTTAAAAAAAATCATGTCAGCCTAAGTATTGGACCAGCCTAACACAAGATCTACGATAGAGAGTCTAATCATGCTTAATATATGCTTGCTTATATATTATTGACCTTCTTAGACCCCTTAATTAACTTGTCATCTACCCTGGACAAGTCAGATTAAACTTCTCTGCCATGAAAAGGACCTAAAACAATAATTCAGAGATAATGTTCAACTTTGACGGCCATATATCCACATTTTATCCTGTATTCATGAAATATCTCATCATTTAAAATTTTCAACATAGCAAAAAAAATGGCCTCAGACAAGTACAGAGCCTACCTAAATGAAGATGATGTAAAGAACATTAATTGGAGATTTGGCTCTCCTCCAAGCTATGATGTTGTGAACAAACTCTTTGAAGAAGGCAGAACCAAGGTATTTTGTCCATTTTCTTTGCTTTTTAATTTTCCTATAAAAATGACTATGATTTTTTTGTACAATTTAGCACATGACTATGGCTTATGACCTTCTTTTATTTTAAAATTTTAATTATACATTATTAGAAAAAATGTCTAAATTCAAACATTATTTTTAGATATGGGCACCTGGTTCACTAGAGGAAAAGGTGCAAAATATTGTCAAGACATGGGAAATGGAGATGTTCCACAAAGTAGATTTTGATGATCTCAAGTCTGTTGACCCTGTCAAGTACAGGTTCAGCCTTAATGGTATCAATTATCTTTTATACTTAATTACCAAAAGAAAAAATGGAATATATATGGTCTTGATATAGATTATTTTGGAAAGATGGGCTGATTTTTCTGGCTATTTGGAAGTGCACAAGAACTTAAATATGAAGTCTTTTTAGGTAGAAAATTACAATCTTTAGAAGAGAAAAGAAAAGTTGGAGGAGGCTACAACTCCTTGCTGCAAACTTCTTTGCCGGAAAAATTTAGATGCTTCAATCCCGACGAGGAAACAGTTGACTCGGCCCACAGAGCTTTCACGACAGCTTTTCCGAGAGGTTTTGCGTTGGAAATCGTCGAGGTCTACACGGGCCCACCGGTAATCGTCTACAAGTTCAGGCATTGGGGCTTTATGGAAGGTCCTTTCAAGGGGCATTTACCGACCGGTAAAATGGTCGAGTTCTTCGGTATGGCTGTGTTTGAGGTAATTAATGAGTTAGTTTTACATGAAACATTGTTTTTTCCCAAACCATATTTTGAGGTGATTTTGAGATGGTAAAATTGCATATAAAGGCACCACCTTTTAAGGTTTTTGCAATTTAATCACCGCTTTTTGTTATTTGCGTTTAAATTAGCACATTTCATATGTTTTGCATATCGAATCATATATTTTATTTCCGTTAGACTTTCTGTTTATACTGCTCCAATCTAACGGAAGTTAAAATTTATGCTTAGATTTGCAAAAACATATGAAAGATGGTGATTAAATTGTAAAAGTCTTAAAGGTGGTGCCTTTATATGCAATTTCGCCTATGTAATTTGGTAATAAATGGTTTTTTTTGTACAATTGATGTGGTTGTATAGGTGGATGAGAATTCGAAGATTGTGAAAGTGGAGTTCTTTTACGATCGTGGTGAACTTTTAGGAGCTCTCGTGAAGGGTCCGACTTCCGATCGTGAGGTTAAAACCACGAACGATGAGTTGTCTTCTTCAAGCTGCCCTTTCTTAAGGAACACTGGATAATAAAAAAAAAATGTATATTTATCATCGGATTTTTACTCGGACGACCAGCAAATGTTTTCGAATCGTGAATGTGATCACAGTTTTAAGTACTCTGTAAGCTATTCAGTAAAATGTTACTCTTCGCGAATGCATAAAGTTCGGGCATACGAGATAAAGAAAAAAAAATGCATGTATGGTACTTCTTGGTGTTAAAAACTATTTACATATATTCACTGTACAAAAGCGAAGCACACAACACGTTAAACGAGCAAAACTGAAATCGTAAAAAATCACATTTTTCGTTTGTATCGAAGATTTTTATATCCATCATCAGGTGCATTTCATCTTGTCCAGTCCATAAGCTCTCTGCAAAATTGGAGATTTAATGAACACACGTACACGGCCTTTTTTGTCGTCGTTCAAAACAATTTTTATTATTTATACGAAAAACGTAAAAATACTATCTTTTAATTTCTACTCACCATAGTCTCTCTGTTTTGCTCTGAAACGGGCGCAAGTAGAGAGACGAGTCTTCCCATGTCCTCCTTGAGCTTATCATCATCATCTTCGTTTTCGGATTTGAGAATCTTAATGAAGGTGTTGTTATCAGGCACAAGCTTGAGAGCCACCTGAAAATTATAAACAAAATCAGAATTTGAAAACGCGCAATCTTACAAGAAATCGAGATAAAATCTATTTCGGAATTACTTTGTATGCTGCTGAAGAAATCCAACCGTGCCAAGGTTTTAGAGCGATGTTATAAGATTCTTCGACTGCTTGCTCCAAATTTCTCTCGAAATCCTTTATGAGCAATTGTAACAAAGTCAAAGTGAAATCTAGTGATCTGCATGAAGCCAAGATAGATTAATGGTATATACATATAAATATGTATGAATTAAAATATGATATTTTAGGCAATGATGTAAGAAATTATGTACCTAGTGAGCCAAACAAAGGCTTTGCTGCAAGAAGGACCCTTTTTGGCCTTGCCTTCATTGGCCTCTTTCTTCAAAATCTCAACCACATCACAATATATTGAAGGGTCACAATCATGGAACTTCTTCAATCTCTAGATACGAGCGACAATAATAGTCGGTAAACTTACGATCTTTTAGTTATTACATTAGTAAAAGTAATTGGCATAAATACCCTTTGATGGAATTTAGGCAATAAGACTTCTTATGGAACCGTTTCTGATATAATATTTTACAAAAATATAGGATAATTAAGCTGCAAAAAGAGAAAACAAGTGCTGATTAGATGCTTAGATCAACAAGAAAAGGACATAATCAACAACTTAAAGCATTAATACCACCCGTTTTGAAGTCAAGATCGATCGCCATAGCTTAAGTCTAGTTTTCGAAGGACATAGACGTCAATAAACATTTTGGTCGATTAATGATTTTTAATTATATACGATCATACACAAAAAAATGTCGAGATTTCTTGGACATGGAGGTGACTCTTACAATGAATGAGTTTATGGTGGCCATGAAATGAAGGCACGTGGTTTGCACACGCCGATAAAAATGACAAAACAATTGCAATTATTTTACCTGAATGTTGCTATGAATGTCTTGTCTCAGCACAGCCATTGTTGGCCCTATCTTATCTGCAAACAAGTTAAAATTAAGAACAATTGCAAAAGTCTGCCTTCTGTTTTTGCATATTTACACAAAGGGCTTCTTCTTTCTTTCTAAACTACAAATATTCCCCTAAATTATCAAAATGGTCCACATATTGGGTTAACTCCTGTTTTTGCATATTTACACAAAAGGCTCTGCATTCTTTCTAAACTACAAATATTCCCCTAAATTAGTAATTTATCAAAACGTGTTGGGTTACGAGCCTGGCAACCATTCATTAATCTTCTCATTATAATATTATCAAAATTCAAAATCAACAATCCAAATTTTGGCAATGCATAATTCGGTAAATCTGTTGATAATGACAAATTAGACTAACTCTATCGCAAGACATTTTATTGATGTTCTCTGTAATTATACGAAATTTAATGGGTGTTTTTGAAAATATGTATCCCCAAAAAAGGGAAGAGAGTAATTACCAAGAACTTGAACGAGCAAATTGCAAAGAGCAAGGAAAGGCTTGAGAGGAAGATAATGACGAACAGTAGTTTTCTGGTCACAACCACCTTCACCGCCGCCGGCCACGGCGGCTCCGCCACCGTTACTCTTGCCGTCGGCCGCCAAAAGCAACAGCTCGTCGATGGCGGCCCTTATCTCCGACGGCACCATCTCCGCCTGATCTCTCTTTCTCTTCATTTCTTTCAACTATATATATATATATATATATATATATATATATATATATATATTACACTTAATTAAATACAGACATAGTGTTTATGAAGTAAAATTTCAGCGAATTTAGGTTAAGGGGAGGCCCTGAGGTCTCATTCAACCTCTCAAGCTCAACATTGTTCTGTTATTGGTGTTTCTTATTTATTTATTTACTAGTTTTTGTCCCGTGCATTTGCACGGAAAACTATATGATACATGAAAAAATAATAAAAATTATAAACAATAGTAAAAATCATAACAAATTCATTGAAAAAAAATTAAGAAAAAAAATATAAATATTCTTAAACATTATTCATAAAACAACGTCGTGGTTTTTCTATCGTCAAAATCTCTCTCAGCTTAAGTCAAAATCTTCAAACCCCACTTACTCGTAACTCTAAAAAGCGCCACGTATAATTGTTCATGACTAAATGCAGAGCTTTTCAGTAGTAAGCCGACGTGCGACAGAGACTGTCTTTGACTCTTATTGATCATGTCATAGCATAGGAAACACTTCTTTATATTGTTTGTCCTCGACTCTTATTGATTGATAGAGATTGTCCTTGTTTGTTAATAAAAAAAAATACCATCTAAATATAAATGAGTAAATATAATATTAATTTTTTTATATAAACCAAAAATTTAAAGTAATTGATAATGAGTATAGAATTACCCTTGCGGATTCAAGTTATTTCAACAATGTTCTTTTTATATATCTAAGATTTAATTTTTTTTCTGATTTATATGAATATAAGCACATTTGACTAATTTTTATAAAATTTATTGAAAAAAGTTATTATTTTTTTGAAAAACTGATAAGATATTAAGATAATACTGTACTTAACATAAATGTGGGATTAATTAAAATAAATTTTTTTAATTTAGTCATTAACTAATTAAATTTAACTATAAAAAACTTTCTTAAATGTGAGATTAATGAGTAATTAATTAAAAAAATGTAACTCCTTTTGGAGGGAAAGTGAAAATATTTTTATTAAATGTTTTATTAAATGGGATTAGCTAGCAAATATATATATATAGATTTTTGTGTGAGTTAATAGTTTTAATAATATTGATTGCTTGTAGACATGTACTAGTTATTACAGAGCTTGATTGAGACCTTTAAATTTGACTCCTGCAATTATCTCTTATCTTCTAAATTTTATATATTGTTAAACTGATTCAGAACAATTCATAACAGGGCAACATTACACAAAATATACACTAAATTGGCTAAAATATGGAACAATACACGAAACTTGGATATCATGAAACTTGTTATAATAGAAGTTTCTCTGAACAAAGAACAGTTAAACCATAATAGAAAAAGCTAATCATGAGAGAGTGATTAGTGTA